ATTTTGTATAATTCTCTTTATTTCTGTCAGGTCATTTATGATGTCCCCTCTTTAATTTCTTATTTGGATTATTTGTATCTTTTTTTTTCATTGTTAGTCTAGCTAAAGGTTTGTCAATTTTACTGATCTTTTCAAATAACTGACTTTTGGTTTTATTGATACTCTCTTGTTTGTCTGTTTTTGATTTTATTTTTTTCTACTCTGATCTTTGTCATTTCCTTTCTTCTGGTAGGTTTAGGCTTAGTTTGCTCTTCCCCTTCTAGTTACTGGAGTTGTTGAGTTAGGCTGTTGATTTGAGATCCTTTTTTTAAAATTTTATGTAGGCTTTTATTGCTGTAAGTTTTCCTCTGAGTACTGCCCTTGCTGCATTCCATAAGTTTTGGTATGTTATGCTTTCGTTTTTATTTGACTCTTAAGATATTTGTGATTTCCCTTTTGATTTCTTCCTTGACCCATTGATAGTTTAATAGTGTGTTGTTTAGTTTTCCAGTTTTTTTCCTGTTATTGATTTCTAGCTTTACTCTGTTTTGGTCAGAGAAAATACTTTCTATTTCTTCTTATATTTATCAAGACTTGCTCTGTGACCTAACATGTAGTCTCTCCTGGAGAATGGTCCACATATACTGGAGTAGAATGTATATTGTGCTGTTTTTGAGTGTTCTATATATGTCTGTTAAGTCTAGTTGGTTTATAGTGTCTTTCAGGTCCTCTGTTTCCTTGTTAATCTTTCTAGATATTCTGTCCAATATTGAAAGTGATGTATTGAAGTCTCCAACTATTATTGTAGTGCCATTTTTATTGTCAGTTTTATCAGAGCTTGCTTTATATATTTAGATGCCCCAATGTTGGGTGTATATGTATTTGTGATTATTAAATCTTACTGATTAATTGACCCTTTTATCACTATATAATGTCCATCTTTATCTCTTCTAACAGATTCTGCCTTAAAGTCTACTTTGTCTGATGTTAAGATTGCCACCCCAGCTCTCTTTTGATTATTACTTGCATGGAATATTTTTTTCCATGCTTTCATTTTCAACTTACTTGTTTCCTTGGGTCTACAGTGTGTCTCTTGTAAACAGCATATGTTTGGATCATGTTTTTTTAATCCATTCTGCCACTTTCTGCCTTTTAATTGGAGTATTTAGTCCATTTAAATTCACTACAATTACCAATAAGAAGTGACTTCTGTCGTTTTATTATTTTGTTTTTCTGTGTTTTAAGCCTTCTTTGACTTTGTCTTTTACTACTGCTTGCTTTTGTGTTTTGTTGGCTTATTGTAGTGAGCCATTTTGGTTCTCTTCTCTTTTCCTTTTGTGTATGTTTTTTAGGGTATTTTCTTAGTGGTTATCATGAATATTGTGTTGTGCTTTAATTTTCATTTGACTCTACATATTTTCTGATTTCTCTCTTGATTTCTTCCTTGACCTGTTGGTTGTTCATTACTGTGTTGTTTAATTTCCACATATTTGTGTATTTTGCAGTTTCCCTTATGTTATTAATTTCTAGTTTCAGTGTATTGTGGCTGGAGAAGATACATTGTATGATTTCAGTCTTACTAAATTTTTTGAGACTTGCTTTGTGTCCTTAGGTATGTTCTGTCCTGGAGAATGATCCATTGCACTGGAGATGTGTGCAAATTTAGAATTGTTATATCTTCCAGGTAAATTGATAATTTTACCATTATGTAGTGATCCTTTTATACCTAACAAAGGTTTTTTCCATCTCAGTGTTGATTTGTATAACACAGTAGTTCTCAATCAGGGGCCATTTGGCAATGTTTGGAGACATGATTTGTTGTCACTGATGGCACAGTGGTTAAGCGTTCGGCTGCTAACCAAAAGGTCGACACTTCGAATCCACCAGCCGCTCCCTGGAAACCCTATGGGGCAGTTCTGCTCTGTCCTGTAGGGTTGCTATGTGTTGGAATTGACTGGACGGCAGCGGGTTTGGTGTTTTTTTGTTTAATAGGAACCACCACTTGTCTGTCAGTTTGTCATACTGTAGTGTCTTGCATGTTGCTATGATGCTGGAAGCTATATCATGGGTATTTCAAATACCAGCAGGGTCACCCATGGTGGACAGGTTTCAGTGGAGCTTCCAGACTAACAGAGTTGAACGAAAGACCTGGTAATCTACTTCTGAAAATCTCCCAGTGAAAACCTTATGAATATCAACAGAACACTGTCTGACTCACTTGCTTTGGATATGTCATCAGGAAGGATTAATCGCTAGAGGAGGACATCATGTTTGGCGAATTAGAGAACCAACGAGGGCGAGGGAGTCCTTTGGTGAAATGGATTGGCACAGTAGCTATAACAATAAACTAAAACATGCCTGCGATCGTGAGGATGACGCAGTGTTTCGTTCTGTTGTACATAAGGTTGCCATGAGTTGGAGTTGACTTGACCACAGCTAACTATCTATTACCCATCCATCCATCCATCCACCCATCCATTTATCCACCCATTCATCCATCCATCCCTCTACCCATCCCTCCCTCCCTCTCTCGCTTTCCCATCCTTCCCCCATCCATCCACCCCTCCCCAATCTTTTGGGGTAGGAAGGGAATATATCTAGTGGGTAGAGGCCAGGGATGCTGCTAAACATCCTACAATGCACAGGACAGCCTCTCAGAACAAAGTATTATCTGGCCCTAAATATCAATAGCGCCAAGACTGAGAAATCCTAGTATCACATTAATATGGTACAAAAATGGTAAAGGAAAGAATAGCATCCATTTTAAATAGGAAGGGATTACAAAATTAAAATAGGTATATTTGAATGAAGAACAGGTTAAGACTCAGTATTCTTAGATGTAAAACCATCATTGAAATAGTATAATATTTACTTGGTATATTAATTTGTTTACTTTTACTTTGAACTCTTCTGTTTCTTTATAACTTAGGTGTGTCCATTATAAATAGCATGTAGCTTATAAATAGCATATAGTTTTTTTATTTGATCTGACAGTCTGTCTCTTAACTATTGTGTTAGTACATTCATACTTACCATAATTACAGATATATTTCTTTTATCTTATTTTATACCTTCTATTTATATTTCTTTTCTATGCTTTTTTCTCCTTGCCTGCTCCGCTTCTGTAAGATACCCTGCAGTATCACTGACCTGCAGTCATTTTTTATTTTCGTCTTGGGAATTTCACAGACAGCAGGAGGTGTAAATTTTAGCCCAAAATCTGCATGAAGGCTGGTTCGTACAAATCAGAACTCATGTGAGAGCTGGCTTTGTGTTTACAAATTCTCAGAATAACTTTTGTTTTTTACCTTATTCAGTCCACATACATCTTAGGTCAAGACATTTTTCCTTGCCTCTACTTTCTAGTCCAAGTCCTTCAGTGAGGAATTAGTCTTTTGAGGGTCTAGTCGTATGTAGTTGGATTTAGTACTTGTATAAGTGAGCCTCTTGTCTAGTCAGAGCGGCAGATGCCAAACTAGCATCCCCATCTTTACAGCTCAATTATTGCGCTGATTTTTATCTCCTGTTTTTTTGTTTGGCTTGGGGGATTTATCTTAATTCCTTTCTAGCTCAATTATGCATATAAAAGAGTTAATTTTACCAAGGTCTCCCCCATCCCTTTGGTAATTTCTAACAGTTTAGCTTTAGTCTACCTGTTACCAGAAACAGAAGTTGACACAACTGGTCTGAATTCACTTTGGCTCACTTTTCTTTTGGCTAAAGTTTTTTAGTACTTTTCAAATATTGCCTCTTTATCACCTTTGCTGTGCTTTACTCTAAAACTTCTAAAAGGCATATGTTGTAGCCCTTCAAAGTACCCCCATGGCTCTTTAAGGTCTTTTTCATAGTTTTTGTCCCTTTAACCTTCTGTGTGCTACATTTGGATAACCAGTTGCCATGGGATCGATTCCCAACCCCGTGTGTGTCATAGTAGAACTGTGCTCCATAAGGTTTTCAGTGACTGATTTTTTGGAAGTTGATTGTCAGGCGTTTCTTCCAAGGTGTCTCTGGGTGAATATGAACCTTCAACCTTTTGGTTAGTAGTCGAGTGTGTTAGCCATTTGCACCACCCAGGGATTCCACACTTGAATCGTAACTTCCAGTTCACTTATTTTCTTACCAGTTTTGTTTTATCTAGTATTTTTTCAGTCTATTTTTTACGACTTACATCTAGATTGTAAGTTTTGTTACCATTCATCTATTCTTGACAGATTGCTGCCTGTTTTACTTTCATTTCTTCTTTTTTATGGATGCTGTATCTTTATCTCTTTGAGGATCTGCAATATTCTTATTTTAAAGTCCTTTCAAAGTGTAGTTTGTATCTCATTTTTAGAGGGAGTTTTGTTTTCTCTTTGTGTGCACTCTCCTGTACTTGGTGTTTTTGTGGTTATCTCTGCCTTGCCCCTTGTGTTTTCATCTTTAGAAGAAGGCCTTATATTGGAAGTCTTGGACTCTTATTATGCAGGAATATTGGTAAAAATCAAGAACCATTCTTTGAACCAATAGGTGGCTTGACCTAGGTCTTCTGCTCTTTTCCAGTTGCATGGCAGCATCCTTGGGCAATGATCTCAGATTTTATTGTCTTCTTTCACAGGTGAGAGAGCCCCGCTCAAATCCCTGATTTCACAAAATGAGCCTGATTTTGATTCCCACTGCCCATGTTATGAGTTGATTTTGGTCCACGTTATTAGGGTTAATCTCTTAGCTGTCTGAAGCTAAGACTTAAAAATAGGCAACTCTCTCATTTCTGCTTACTTCTTTTACCTTTGGGTGTGTGAGGTTAAACAACTGCTGTGGTTTATTGGAAAGTATGTTGAGTCCTGTGTAACCTTATGTCTCTGTTTCCTTATCTTTAAGTGACAGTAATAACTTGGACAGTGATGGTGAAGTCGAAATGGTATTTTATATGTATATGAAAGTGCTCTATAAGCTGAGAAGAATTATCTAAATATTAGGTTATTTTTATTATTGTATAATCATAGTCATTGTGTTAGTCCATTCAGATCTGCTTTTGATTTTAGGTTGTTCCATTGACCTGTCATGTATGGCAACAGTCACTAAATCAAGGCAATAATAGAACACAGATTTCCAAAACTAACGTGGTCTCTTTGGAAACAACTCAGTGGGGATCTGGAGATGATCAGGTATGTCTTCTGTAAAACTATCTTCCTTTGATAAGCAGCACAAGAAATTCTGATTAACTGTGAAGAATGGAAAGAGGTGAATTACCCTGATAATTCATTTTTCTAATAGATCTTTTGCAGTTGTAATTATATAGACCATCAGTTCATTTTTTAACCCCTTCTCAGGACCTCTTTTTAGCCTTCAGGATTATTCTAAGGAGCTTTTGTGTATGTGGGTTATATCTATCACTATTTATTATACTAGAAATTAAAACAAAATTTAAAAATTATCTTAAAATTAATTTTAAAATAACAAACCTATTGTATATTAACATAAATGATATAGTTTAAAATGAAAAATGACTGTTTTTCTATAACCAAAAAATTAGTTGGAAGAGTCGCATTGTTTTATGTTTTTGCACATCTCTTTAATGTCTGCTGTAATAGAAGACAGCTGGATTCTCATAGCTGCCTGTGCCTTCAGTCTGTTGGGATGTACTGTTTCGGTTGAAGTATATGAAGAAAATCTGGCCTCACATAGATATATAGTTAGAAAAGGGAGAACCACATAGATCCCCTGAAAGGGTGTCAGAGAAGACCCCTGGGGATCCTCAGACCATACCTTGAGAACCACTGACATAGAACATAGTTATGAACTTAGAAAAAACTGAAAAATCTTGAGCAGATGGGGGGAAAAATCATGGTACTTCTGTTAGAGGGGGAAAAATGCAGCCTTACTCATACGGGTTAAATATTTAAAGTTAATTATCTAATAACTCAGTTATCAGGTTTCTTCTAGCACCTTCAGTTTCCCCTAAATTGCAGCAACTACCCATTAGATAGATGTAAGATATGAAGGAAGGGAGATTTGCTGTCTCTGAAGGAAAGGGATCCTTGACCAGAAAAGCATAGTACTCTGGGGCCTAAAATAGTTTACTATTCTCTTAGGGCATGTGTATGGTAGAATGCAGTCCAAAAATTGATGTGTTTCTTTTATACCTTCTTATAAAACACAAACCATGGATGAGTCCCATAGTTCTTTTTTTCTGCCTTCATGTTTGGGTTCCTCAGATTACCTGGAGCATTATTCTGTTTCATAAGTCTTTCTCCTCCTTTCTCCTGATTATTCTGTTCTTTAGTCAGCCCTGTTGTTGTCACTTGAGTTACCTTTCTTTATTCATTGAAACTATAATGCTTGCCACGCTGTCTTGTTTTATTTTCTTTCACTTCAACTTACATAACCTTATATCTAACACCTGAAGCTCTTGGATCTTTGATCTAACCTCCAGAGATCTTTTCCCCCACCCCTGCTTTCAGTCCTCTTTCAGTTACCTATCTCATGGGCACAGTCTAGACCTTATCATCACCAGTAACTTGAGTGTAAATAGCCCATTCTGTCTTCCCCTTTAGCTACTGCCCGATTATTCTGCTCCCTGTTAACAGTGAAATTTTCAAGAGTTCCCTACATTCTTTGTTTCCATTTCCTGATAGCCTGCCCTCATTTTTGAAAAGTCATATTTACTGAGATACAATTTTAAATACAGTAAAATTCACCTGTTTTAGGTGTACATATAATTTCAGTAAATGTATGCCATCATATAACCTCCACCATATTTGAGATATAGACCCTTGCCATCACCCCAGAAAAGTTCCATTGTGCCGCTTTGTAATCAGTACCTCCCCTACCCCTAGTCCTCAGCAATCTGATTTCTGTTGCTATAGTTTTGCCTTTTCCAGAATTATACAGTGTATAGACTTTTGAGTCTGGTTTCTTTTACTTGGCTTATGCTTTGAGATTCATCTAGGGTGTTGCATATATCAAATAGTTGGTTCCTTTCTACATTTTATTGCTGGATAGTATTCCATTATATGGGTGATTCACAATTTGTTTATCCACTTACTAGTTGAAGAACATTTGGATTGCTTATAGATTTTGACTATTTTGAATAAAACTGCTTTAAAAATTCATGTACAGATTTTTGAGTAGACACATAAGGTTTAATTTTTCTTAGACAAATACCTAGGTGTGGAATTGCTGACTAATATGGTAATTGTATGTTTAACTTTGTAAGTGCGAAACTGTTTTCTAGAGTGGCTGTACCATTTTGCATTCCAACAATGTAGGCGCCCTGGTGGCGCAGTGGGTAAAGCTCTTGGCTATTAACCAAAAGGTCGGCGGTTCAAACCCACCAGCCGCTCCGTGGGAGAAAGATGTGGCTGTCTGCTTCTGTGAAGATTTACAGCCTTGGAAACCCTTGGGGCAGTTCTACTTTGTCCTATAGAGTTGCTCTGAGTCGGAATTGATTCAATGGTGGTAGGTTTTGGGTACCAGCAATGTATGAGAGCTCTAGTTGCTCTTCATCTTTGTCAATATTTTGTATTCTCAGGTTTTTTGTTTTTTTTTTTAATTTTAGCTATTCTAGAAGGTGTATCATAGTGCCTCAGTATGGTTTTAATATGCATTTCTCCAGTGACTAATTATGTTGAGCATCTTTTTTTGTGCTTATTTGCCATCTGTGTTTCTTCTTTAGTGAAGTGTCTGTTTAAATCTCTTCCACATTTTTTTTGGGTGGTTTGTTTTCACTTGTTGAGTTTTAAGAGTTCTTTACATATTGTAGATACAACTCCTTTATCAGATACATGTTTTGAAAATAATTTCTCCTAGTCTGTGACTTGTCTTTGCATTCTCCTAACAGTGTCTTTTTTTTTTTTTTTTTAATATTTTAT